AGGTGACAACAGTTGGTGTGATTATTCGCAAATGGAAGAAACACAAAAGAACTGTCAATCTCCCTCGGCCTGGGGCTCCATGCAAGATCTCACCTCGTGGAGTTGCAATGATCATGAGAACGGTGAGGAATCAGCACAGAACTACACGGGAGGATCTTGTCAATGATCTCAAGGCAGCTGGGACCATAGTCACCAAGAAAACAATTGGTAACACACTACGCCGTGAAGGACTGAAATCCTGCAGCACCCGCAAGGTTCCCCTGCTCAAGAAAGCACATATACATGCCCGTCTGAAGTTTGCCAATGAACATCTGAATGATTCAGAGGACAACTGGGTGAAAGTGTTGTGGTCAGATGAGACCAAAGTGGAGCTCTTTGGCATCAACTCAACTCGCCGTGTTTGGAGGAGGAGGAATGCTGCCTATGACCCCAAGAACACCATCCCCACCGTCAAACATGGAGGTGGAAACATTATGCTTTGGGGGTGTTTTTCTGCTAAGGGAACAGGACAACTTCACCGCATCAAAGGGACGATGGACGGGGCCATGTACCGTCAAATCTTGGGTGAGAACCTCCTTCCCTCAGCCAGGGCACTGAAAATGGGTCGTGGATGGGTATTCCAGCATGACAATGACCCAAAACACACGGCCAAGGCAACAAAGGAGTGGCTCAAGAAGAAGCACATTAAGGTCCTGGAGTGGACTAGCCAGTCTCCAGACCTTAATCCCATATAAAATCTGTGGAGGGAGCTGAAGGTTCGAGTTGCCAAACGTCAGCCTCGAAACCTTAATGACTTGGAGAAGATCTGTAAAGAGGAGTGGGACAAAATCCCTCCTGAGATGTGTGCAAACCTGGTAGCCAACTACAAGAAACGTCTGACCTCTGTGATTGCCAACAAGGGTTTTGCTACCAAGTACTAAGTCATGTTTTGCAGAGGGGTCAAATACTTATTTCCCTCATTAAAATGCAAATCAATTTATAACATTTTTGACATGCGTTTTTCTGGATTTTTTTGTTGTTATTCTGTCTCTCACTGTTCAAATAAACCTACCATTAAAATTATAGACTGATCATTTATTTGTCAGTGGGCAAACGTACAAAATCAGCAGGGGATCAAATACTTTTTTCCCTCACTGTAAATGATGCTTGTACTGTGAGTGTATATTGTGCAATTAAATATCTATTAGTGTCGTAAGCAGCCCCGCTTTTGGTTTATATACATGTATAAAATGTTGGGCAGGAGCTACCGGACTCCGGGGCATGCTGGTCGACAGCCGATGGCCTACGTTTGTGAGTTAACTTTAAACGCGTCAAAAAGACAGCGCTCTAAGCGAGAAGGGGCTGTAGCCGAGGGTATTGGATACCAACGCAAGCCTCTCTTTACACACACGCACACACCACGTAGGTTTGATCTGTCGGCTCGCGAAGCGATGTGCCCTGGAAGCAACTAAAAATAAACGTTTAATTTTCAAGAAATAACTCGCATGTAATTCATCTGTAATGAGAATGTATTGCAGGGCAAGTTTGTGTTGCACACTAAATGATGAAAACTGTTCTTGTGACAAGGTTTGGAACTATTTTCCTTTCTTATGTAAAATTGTAAAGCAAGGCAAGCCACCCCCTCCGCCCCGCCCGCCCCTTACTCCAGGATCAGAATATGTATTTATACTGGAGGAATCCGATGAGCGATAAAGATATTTTTTTACATGTCCAGTAGAGGTGGGTCAGAACATTACAAAAAAAATACAAAAACACGATCGGAGTGCAAAGTATAGGAAAGGTAAGTAAATCATTTAAAAAATATATAAACAAAAAATCTACTTTTTATCTTACCAGCTACAGGCCCACTGAGCTATTCCATTATTTTTCAGAAGCGACCCGGCCACAAATGATAGCTCAACGAAAGTGGCTCATCACGTGGAAATGTATAGAACAGACAGTCAGTCCAGTGGCCTCCACCCACCCTAAGTCACACGGTTTCTCATACCGACAACACTGGCTTGTGCACATTTAATCTGCGCTTTATTAATGCACGATGCATCCTTCCACTGCCGGTAAAATGTTTACGTGAACCGAACAATTTTGCGGGCGCAAATTAATTCAATTTAGCCGCTTCACCATGTCCACGCAGAGTGGTTGTTGTTATTTTTTGTCCTTAACGCTTTGATCGTAAAGAAAAGCCTCACCCCGAGTTTTGACGACTCAATTTTGCAGGAGGGTCCTGCAAAATGTCTTCTCGAAGTGAGGGGGAGCTGGGGGGGGGGAGCAGCGACGATTTTCTGCGGCAGATTCAAATTGAGTCGTTTGCGAGTCAAAATGTTAAAAAAGTCTCCACCGGTTCGGGGAACCGTGATGCCGGCTCGCAGCAGCGGCCTGCTCTTGCGAACCGCACCATGGCGGGGAGGCGGAGGGGGGGATCTTTAACGTCCACTGTTAAACTACAGACTATGCGCGTTCCTCTTTGTCTGGTTTTAATACACCTGCGACGTGTGTGTATGTACAGTTTAGCTTCTTTCGGCGCCGTACGTAACCAACCGTGCTAAATCGGAAGCGTGGCGGTGCGGGGAGCGGGGGGGGGGGTAAGGACAACAAATCAGACGCAAAAAAGCAGTTCTAAAGGAGTGAGTTTTCAATCGACATTTGTCTCCCCGTGGTCCTTCCTGCTCCCCGCGTGCCCCAATCGCGACGACGCACGGTGCCAGGGTGCGTGGCCGCTCTCGTTCAGGATGCGCGTTCGCAATAGCGACGCGCCGCGGTTTGCATGGAGCTATCAGAGTAATTGTGACACCGAGGGGCTCCGAACAGGGCCCCCCCCCCCTCCCCACACCACGAGACCATGAGCTAGGCACACAGCTGGTGCGGCACAGTCTGGGACCGGGAGAAAATAGATCGGTGGGGATCGATCCACAGGCGTTTGAAACTGTTCACTTCGATGCGTGCTCTAGGTTGTTTCAGGGAAGAAGAAAAACCAGTGGGGGCTTAATTACAGCGTGTTGTTGACTTTGTTAATGGCCTGCGGATGGCTTTTTTTTGACGAGAAAGCATGAGGGGGGTCCTTGCGATCACTTGTCATCCGTCGTCTTTTCACGGTCGTTTTCATTTCCACCCACAACCACGGTGTTTACAACTCACGCACGTTGAGGCCTGCATTGTTCTGTGGACCGTCTGAGAATCAATGAAAAAAAATCCATCAATCACAGCAGCCGGGTTTAGCGGGTGTAATCTAATTCTTTTTGGAGGCTTCTCCAGTTAGGGCTTTGATCAGATGTGCCGCTAAAATGGGGGATATTTGGCGAAAGCCCTGTGCTGAATCCATTTATGAATGTCAGAAACAGTACCACAACGCTGCAGCATTACGAGTGTATCACGTGTTAGCTGAGCCGATATATAGGAATTTCAGAACGTCGTGAAATATACCTATAGATCTCAGCAATGCAAACTGTTGCACAACTCACGAAATGAAACACTATATTTGGTTGATACTGCATTGGCAGTGGTGCATAAGCACGGATAACAAAAACTCAACAAATTTGTCAATAACAGTGTGGCTTGAAAAGGGAAAAATGTAATATAATTCGGCGACGATTCGGTTTCTTCATAGCAAAGTAATTAGATCAGAGATTAGGAGAATGCACTTTACACCATGGGGCCTGATGAACAGTTGAACTTGTATTAAAATTAAAGTAATAACACGTTGCCGGCACATTGGATGGGTAGACCTGTTGTACCGAGGTCAATGAAGCAAACATTAGCATAATCCACTTACTGATGCTTTCCTGGGCTCAATTTTTTGTTTCGTGAGGATTAGGTAAGCTAATCACGATCGTTGGCGGGGAAGACACAACACACTCTGGACAATTTCTGCAAAAAGCGATTACTCGTGACGACAAATCGCGATAACGATGCTGCGTAACCGAACAAGTACAAATCGTGCCAGCGAGCCGGCCGCGACACGCTCGCCAGAAAATCGCGTTTTGTCGTCGTCGTCCTCGTCCTCGTCGTCGTCGCTGACCACCCATAAAATTCCACGATCCCATGAGCTTTCTCGCTTTCGGAGGCCGTGCGCTCCTGGAATTCCCCCCGAGCTTACTGATTCCTTCAAGGGGCTTGCTTTTTTTTTACAAAATGTTTTCCCCATGAAATCTTGCCCTGGTGTCCACGGGGCCCCATGTCCACCACCGCAAGGCATCCGAAGAGGAGCTTGTGGCTGCGCTTCCCCGTTACAGGCGCCCCTTCGCATTGGAGCTACGGCTACCGGACTCCTGAAATAATCTTCCACACCACCGCCTTGGCTGGCAATTCAGCGTGGCGGCTAGCGCAGGATAGGATTGCCTGGTGGCGGCTCGTAGGGAAAGCTACACCCCGAGGGGCATGCACATGATGATGATGATGATGATCTATTAGTTTAATACAAAATAGACATGCAATTTACATATCCAAAATATGCGTTTTTTCGGTTAGATCGCGTAAATATACAATTGTGTCGTTAAACCCACCACCACCCGACACAGGCAATTAGTAAGGTTTGTTACATAAACAGAACATGCCAATTGGCAGCTAGTACAGCACACCGGTGTGTTGGAGAGCAAATCAACAGTATTTGTGGAGAGCAAATCCATGAATTGAGCAAATTCACAAATGTGTATTTTCTCTCCAACACACCGGTGTGCTGTACTAGTAACGAATTTGGCACCTTCTGTTTATGAGACAAACCTTACCAATTTAAACTTGATTTGAAGCCCTCGTGACTGCAGGAATCCACACTCTTTGGTTTTTTCGGTAAAGTCACGTAGGTAAAAATTACATTTTGCTGTGTCGGGTGTTGCCGGATTCAGCGACACATTTATACTTACGTGATCTGAACCCAAAAAAAAAACCCCATTTTATGGGTGATATTGGTCGCGAAAGCATTACCACGTGTTCAATTTACACATCATTTGCACACGTTGACTCGGAGGCGCTCAGACCCGCGGTCGCAGCAGTTTGCCGTCGCGACTCACTGGTGGAGAAGGTGACGTGCGGGTGGTGCGCCGGCAGGACGGTGCCGATGGTCGTCGGCTGGCAGGAGATGTGGACGGTCGGCTGCGATGACGGCACGCCCTGGCCAAAGTAGTGCTGGTGGCGCAGCAGCCAGTCCGGGGGCGAGCGCGCCGCCAGGTTGCACTCGCTTGTGGCGCGGCCGAGCGCCAGCTGCTGCTGCTGGTAACTCGGCCTGAGAGAGAGAGAGCGAGAGAGAGAGATACGAGGCGTGATAACGGCGAAACGGTCGCACTGCTCCGTTAGGAGTCCGGTCGATCGATTCTTCAGCTCGCGACGCGCACGTGGTGGGGGGGGGGGGGGGGGGGGGGGGGGGGGGGTGCTGCGTTGTCAGCAGAGGGCAGGGCAGCAAAAAAAAACCCGTTGTTGTACTGTACCGTGCTCCAACATCTATGCTCCCCACCTTCATCAACCCGGGCGGCCTAGAGTGGTAGATATGTAACTTGGGTAGACTTTGTTTTTTAAGTCTTCGGATTCTGACTAAACGGTGCGCGTCACAGACGGAGTGAATTCCAGACGACCGCAGCTGCAACACATAAGCGACGTTTGGCGCTGTTGTCTGGGTCGACAAGGAGGAATCTCGAGGCAAGATCGGAGGTTGCGAGATGCAACTTACAATGAGAATGGTGTGTGTGTGGGGGGGGGGACAGGGAGGGTGGCCCTCATCCAGCAGTGGATTGACAACAAAGAACTGTATGTGTCCACATAGCCACCGGGCATCGATCAACGGCAACGGACGTTGCAAGCATTTTACAACGTGCCAAGCGACTTCGAAGAAAAAAAAAAACAAGTATAATTACGCGACATTTCTCACGGCCGTTGCCCTATCCGTCGCACTCGGTCGAGCGAAACCGAAAACCAATATGACATTGTTCACGTCTAATTTCCACAACAACGACACAAACCCGCAAGCCCGGGGGGCGAGAAAATAACGCGTCCCAAGTGCGCCCGAGGACGAGAATCCATCTCGCACGTGGGTGCAGCAGCACTTGACTTGGGGAAATGCGCCCGCCTTCTCCTTACGAATTTATTTGTTGTTGGTTCTTTCGGTAAAGTCACGTAGAAGGGAAACAACAAAATAATAAAAATATAAAACAATACAATTCTCACGACGTTTCGACTGTAACACAAGCAATCTTCATCACAGCAAGAAAATTTGAAAATTTCAAAGAAAATTTCAAAGAAAATTTGAAAATTTCAAATTGCTCTTTAATTTGAAAATTTCAAATTTTCTTGCTGTGGTTTTCACACCTGATGATGATTGCTTGTGTTGCAGTCGAAACGTCGTGAGAATTGTATTGTTTTATATTTTTATTATTTTATTGTTTCCCTTCTACGTGACTTTACCGAAAGAACCAAGAATATGATGATACTGTATATCGTGGTGCTCACGAGTCCATGCAGTGGGGGGGGGGGGGGGGGGGGGGAGGGATGGTTGGTCATCGTGGCTGTGTCAGGAAATTAAACATCCGAGAGTTTAATACAGTACGTAGCGTGCTATAACCTTAAATTAGATTCTTCTTTCTTGCTTTTCTTGCCGATGCAAGCGAAGCTCACGCGTAACTGATGCTCCGACAACAGCAAAGCACTCACTTCGAAGTGAAGGAAGCCGCCCTCCCCCTCTGCAGTGGCTCTGCGATGGGATGGACGCGTCTGCAGCGTTACGATGGATACGCGATTAATCCGAACGCATATCGCCCCGACGCGGATTTTTCTTTCGCTTTTGGCCACCGTTTCGACAAAGCGTGCTGCGTACTTTGACCGGCAGCAAGACCCATTGGTGGTTGATTAACCGAACCCAGCTCTAATTTATTAGGGGAACAAATAAAGCGAGACTGGAATCAATTTGGTGAATCCCAATGCATCTCCCTCGTTGTTTATTTGATAATTTAGGCCTAGGCTACTTTACAAATTATTCAATGTAAGGTGAACCCAATAGGACTGTGAGCGTCCAATGGCAATCACAGGGTTTGAAATAAGCAATTGGTCTTGCGAGCTCCATTAGCGAGTGGCACATGTGTGTGACCTTGTTATTGTGTTCTACAGCAGTGCAGAAACATCCCGCCGGTTGTCATACTGTGGCCCCGTCGCCCCACGTCTACGCACCCTGCCTGTCACCAATCAGCGCTTAGCAGCGCGCGTGGTGAGGTATGGTCACACGGCCCCAAAGCCGCGGGCCGTGGGAAGGTCGGTCATCTGGCAGCGGAGCGACAAAAAGCGTCGGCACGCCCGGCGCTTATGTCCTTCGAGAGAAACTCGTCCCCGCCACGGAAATGTGGAATTTCCACCACCGGCTCGGTGGGGGGGGGGGGATACATTTTTTGGGCCGACACGCCGAGCCAAAGTCGGGCCCACGAGCGACGCCAAAGACGCCTCCTCTTGCGTCACAGATGTCGCCGTTTGTCATCTGCGACCGGTCACCCCCCCCCCCACGTCCTCCCCCCCCCCCCCCCCCAAGCGCTCGAGGGCTCGGTTCGAGAGGGGAGACGGCTGCGGCGCCACGCAGCGGACGCGTAGCCCCGTCTCGACGCGCAAGCCTCCTGCGGCAAATTAGATTTGTGCTCTTCAAATTTGTGCTCTTCGGTTTGCCGGCCGACGTCCGAAGCGAGGAACGCGGCGCTCAAAGGGATGGCGCCGCCCTCCCCGTGGTTGCCCCACCTCCCCCCTCGTGGTGACCCCCCCCCTCGTCATCACCCCCCCCCCATGGCCACCCCCCCCCCCATGGCCACCTCCCCCCCTCCGCCCCATGGTGACCCCACCATCGTGATCCGTCGCTCAAACAAATCCCTGGAGACGCCGGTGCACGGCAGCCAAGGAGGAGCGGTCGTCCAGATGCGAACGCCGCCGCAAAAAAAGAGGTCACCCGTCATGCGGTAACGGCCCGCGATGAGTGAGCGACCGTCGGTCCCGTGCCGCGATAACCCCCCTCTCGCGGATCGCTGCGAGCGTGACGGTGAGTGCCGAACGTGACCCGCCGTCCAATCGGACGATGTCCGACGCTCCGTTCTTTCTGCCGCGAGACGGATTCTCGTCCTCGACGAGCCGCGCCAACAGCGGCAAACGAGGCACGTCGAGGGAGCTGTACGGCGTGAGCGCCAAAACACGTGCCCGCAGTTGTGGCCACCGCAGCTGGGCGCGAGGTCGCGAGGCTTGGCGAGGTTCGGTGAGGTTGGGTGTTCAGTTCGGTGAGGTGTCGGTGAGACCCGGTGAGGTTGGGAGAGGTTCAGTGAGGTTAGGCGAGGTTCGGTGAGGTGTCGGTGAGACCCGGTGAGGTTGGGTGAGGTTCAGTGAGGTTAGGCGAGGTTCGGTGAGGTGTCGGTGAGACCCGGTGAGGTTGGGTGAGGTTCAGTGAGGTTAGGTGAGGTTTGGTGAGGTGTCGGTGAGACCCGGTGAGGTTGGGAGAGGTTCAGTGAGGTTAGGTGAGGTTCGGTGAGGTGTCGGTGAGACCCGGTGAGGTTGGGAGAGGTTCAGTGAGGTTTGGTGAGGTGTCGGCGATGTCCGGTGAGGTTCAGTGAGGTTAAGTGAGGTTGAGTGAGGTGGAGTGAGGTGGAGTGAGGTAGAGTGAGGTTCAGTGAGGTTCAGTGAGGTGGAGTGAGGTGGAGTGAGGTAGAGTGAGGTTCAGTGAGGTTCAGTGAGGTGGAGTGAGGTGGAGTGAGGTAGAGTGAGGTTCAGTGAGGTTCAGTGAGGTAGAGTGAGGTTCAATGAGGTTCAGTGAGGTGGAGTGAGGTGGAGTGAGGTTCAGTGAGTTGGAGTGAGGTGGAGTGAGGTGGAGTGAGGTTCAGTGAGGTTGAGTGAGGTAGAGTGAGGTTCAGTGAGGTTCAGTGAAGTGGAGTGAGGTTCAGTGAGGTTGAGTGAGGTAGAGTGAGGTTCAGTGAGGTTCAGTGAGGTAGAGTGAGGTTCAGTGAGGTTCAGTGAGGTGGAGTGAGGTTCAGTGAGGTTTAGTCAGGTGGAGTGAGGTTGAGTGAGGTGGAGTGAGGTGGAGTGAGGTTGAGTGAGGTTGAGTGAGGTGGAGTGAGGTTCAGTGAGGTTCAGTGAGGTTCAGTGAGGTTCAGTGAGGTGGAGTGAGGTTCAGTGAGGTGGAGTGAGGTGAAGTGAGGTGGAGTGAAGTTCAGTGAGCCCCGGTACCTGGTGGCAGTGATCCCGCCACTCTGGGGCTGGGGGCCAGACGCCGGGAAGAAGTAGGAGCGGCGACGCGAGTAGCTGGGCACCTCTTGGAACGGCACTGGGGGGGGCAAAGCACGGGAAAACAGTGGTCACGCACCTCCGACTAGCACGGCTGGCTCTACGTACGGCGCGAAAGAAGTCCAACGCACGACGGACGTGACAAACCCGCCGCCGTCAGGCAACGTCATCGGAGGGGGTCGGGCGTGGGTGGGGGGGGGGGGAGGGGTTAGCAACGGGATCGCGGCAGAAGGACGATCGGAACGACCATCGCAGAGGTGGCGGTGGCACCGAGCCACGGGCAGACCTCCCGCCGCCCTGCGAGCTCTCGCCGCCGGCATCAAGGTCCACCTGGTGTCAGGGCCTTCTTCTCGGGGCGTCAAGCCTCTGGGCGCACATCGCGACGCCTCCCCCCCCCCCCATCCCATTGCCCTCCTGTTGAGGTGTCATTTGTGGTGGCCTGGTCGCTTTTGAGCGGGAGGTTGATACCTCGGTGGGCTTTGTCTGGCAGGATGGGGTTGGTCGAGTGTTGTATTTGCACGTGTTTGGGTGATTTGTTTAATCCTTCTTGTACTTTGCACTCCTGTCGTGTTGTTTTGTGTTGTTTGTTTGCTGTGACGTTCGCACCCGCCCCAACTGGACATCTGTGAAAAAGAGCTTCATAGCTCATCGGATTCCTCCAGTGCAAATAATATTCTGATATAGTATATTTGTATTTCTCCTCCCCATTTTACACCCGTGACGCTTTTTTCCGTCATCGTTTTTTTTTCCCGAGCTCCCAAATCGCTTCACCCTATCCTGCGATCAGACGCCCTATTTTTTTTTCCCGCAGTGCGGAGGCAAAGCAAGGAGGTCGTTGTTGTTATTTTTTTAGGAGGGCCGTTCGCAGTCAAGATTGACGTCGCTCCACGCCTAATAACCCTGGGATAGAGCGATTGGCAAGGGGCTGCCGGGGGTATGACTCTGTCACGAAACGAAGTGGAATTTCCCAAAGTGACGGGATCATCGATACGTCAGTTTCCCAGCAATTTCCCAGCAGACAATGCGACGTTGGTTTCAATGCACGTACGTAGTGCGTGTGCGTTGAGCTTCTTTCGCACCGTACGTAGGCAACCGTGCTAATCGGAGGTGGGTTGGAAGGACGACAAACTAAACACAAAAAGCAGTTCTCAAGAAATCAATGTGGGCATGTGGTTGGAACAGCGTAGGGACAATTTGCCCAACGTTGATCCAACGTTCCATCTGTTCCGGGCTGTAACTGTATTTCACATTTTAATCATTTTGATTTTGTGCCGTGCTGCATTTCAAGTATGAATAAAGACTGCTTGAAAGGTATTTGACTGCCGTTTACTCACCACAAGCCTGCTGCGAGTCTTTATAATCAATACATTCCACAGCAAAAGACTGATGATATTGATGATGCATGCAATGATGACGATGACCACTTCATTGCATTTATTGGTATGGAGGGGGCCCCGTGGGGCTTGGGAGCCACGGTGTCTCGGAGATGTTAACTACCTCGCCTCGTATACAGGAGGTCGCGGGTTTGATCCCGACCCTGACGCCTGCTGCTGCTGCTGCTGTATATTTGTAGTTTATTGTATTTGACCGCAATAAATGTCCACTTCGTCGAGCCATCATTTCTGATAGCAACATCGCTTCTGAAAAAAGAGCTACATAGCTCAGTGGGCCTTACCCCGGTGAAGTTTAGTTTACTCGCGCTACTTCCCAGACTGCTCTGGGGCAGCCCCGCACGGTTGCCCCATGGCTTTCCCGAGGTATCGCTGCCACCCCGGGACTGGAGATGATAGCACACTGTCTCTAGACCACCGGGCGGTGAGGTCGGGGCTCTCTTGGGAATCGCTGGGGCCGGGCACCCCGGTAATATCGGACCTTCTCTGCGACTCACTGGCGCTTGACCGCAGCGGTAGCAGATGCTTCCCCCTGGGCGGATGGCGGGGTCGGAGGTCGTCGCGATCGGTACCGCAGAGGGCCTTGGTGTCAAAAGCCTGGTGGTTCTGACACCAATGCGATCAAAGTGGCGATCACCTCCGTTTATTTAAAAAAAAAATACCCACCGCCGCTTTCTTTGCAATGCCATCTCCATTTAACTCCCCCCCCCTCCTGTTTAGCCATTCACCGTTCACGTGAGTGTTGCGTTTTGTAGTACGCATGTAGTGCATGTGTATGTTGAACTTCTTTCGCACAGTACGTAGCCAACCGTGCTAATCGGAGGTGTCGGTGGGGGTGGTGTCAGGCTGGCGCCCCTTCACCCAATAGTTTTGTTTTTTGTCTCCATCGTTGGCCGAGGGTCATCCGTGGAAAAGACACCCGGAGCCTCAGCGGGTTCTCACCATTCTGGCAAATTGCCCGATGAAGCTGGATGTAATTACCAGCGAAACGTCGTACTCAAATTTTAAATGATGTTGATTCACTCTTCAACACACCGGTGGGCTAAAGTAGTGAACTATTTGTCCTTTGTAAACGTGACACATTTTTTGCTGTTTGGCCGTGTCGGGTGGTGGAGGGTTACGACACATTTATAAATAACGCGATCTAACCCAAAAACCTTTATTATGAACTAACACCTCTGCCAAGCAACATACCAATGGCGTGGAAGAGTAGGCCAAAACACCCTCTGGCAGAGCTCTCTAAAGTTGGCATTAGCAGTCAGATTTCAGGGTGGCACCTTCAACTTATAACCTCGTTGTTGTTGTTTGACGCACACCATCGTCATCGTAATATATACAATGGCAAGCATGTGTTGTCTCCTCTGTTAACATTGGGTTGTTCCATCGCATTGCACATGTGTGCACCGTGCACGTCTACACACGTACAACACGCAACACGCTCACCAACAGCGCGACAACGGTATTTACAAATTACAATGTTACTATTTACCAGCTTTCCTGCTAATCACAGGCTGCATTTACAGATGTTCTGGATTACTATCACAATGCTACCCCCCCCCCCGCCCATCTCCCTTGAGGAACCTAGAACCGGCTATGATTACAAGCTCAACTTCTGGCGAATGTCACACCCTGAGCTTCAATCTCAGACTGCCTGTTCACAAATACGAACGTCATGCATATGTATTGTTTTACTATGCTCCCGGAAAGGTTTACTGTCAGTTTAAGATGAATGAAACCACCGATTTACATAGGTCACGTATCGTTTTAAATATGCAGACATTCCAATTCCACTTTCCGTGCACAAAACAGATATGTTTTGAATTCTTGGCTATTTTCGCTTCATTTTAAGATTCTTCTGAACAGGGTTTTTTTTTTTACTGGTCCATGTGTATAGTTTGTATGAGCCTCTGATGTTGGGTTCTGTACTATCAATGCACTACTTTGTTCTTTTGTTCTGACTGGCCGATATCCATGGCTTATGAGATGTTTGTGCTCATCGTGTATCCGCAAACGTGTTGAATCTTTCCGACATTGCAAATGTCGTTGGCAGTACATTGTCACTGACGTCTGTTGCGTCTCAAATCTCAACGTGTGTCATTGTGACTCCAACAGTGTTGGCAATTTGATGGATCAGATGGACCCCAAGGCCAGGTATCGATATCGATTACAATATCTGCAGGAATCACCCACTAGTGATCTCGACAATTACCTCTATAGTTGCCTGTAATAACAATACCAATAATGTAATATGTAACACAATAATTCACAAACATAAATGACCGTGACTCTGATGTGGGGTGCCAAGCTCAGTGTCACTGGAAGGTCGTGGCTCCAACATCAGTTTCAGCTCCAATGTTTAGTTTTGTACAACGACAATAAAGAATTAAAGCTTTCGTGACTGCATAAATTACTCATTGTTTTTTTCGGTAAAGTCACATATGTAGAAATATCATAAAATTATATTAAAACAAATCAATGACGACGTTTCGACCGCAACACCCCCCTCCCCCCGCCTCTGCTGCCGTGCCTTCTCTCTCTGGCCCCTCCCCCCCACCTCTACTTCTTATTTAAGGCCTCTGTCTGTTCATCCCTCCGGCCCTTTTTCTTTTTCCTTGCTTCTCTGTCCGTCTTTCCTCTCCTTGCCTCTTGGTGTCCCTGTATATGTATTTCTGCTGACTTGTACCTCGTATTTGTTCACTCTGTCTATGCTGGTATGTTCAACCCAGAGGATGAACACGATAATTTAGCACTCTTCTGAAATTCGTGGTCCGCCAGGCAAGTGTCTAACTGTGTTGATGGCCTGACTGGTTTTGCATCACGTAATTTTTTCTTAGGTTTGTTTAATTCTCGTCTATTATCTTCTTGTTGTATTTACCTCCGTGCAGTTTGGCGCTCTCTATGCGTTGCGTTGATGTCACCCTATGCGCTCCCACGCTATTTGTTTTTTTAACACCTGAGGAAGATCGCTTGTGTTGCGGTCGAAACGTCGTGATTGATTTATTTTAATATAATTTTATGGTATTTCTACATACGTGACTTTACCGAAAAAAACAATGAGTTGTACAGCGTCCTTCGTGCAAATTGCATACCACATCGCAATCCACCGGTCCAACGGCCTTCTGGGAGTGCATTATTTCAGCAGCATTGATACAGCGCAAGCAAACACGCTGGATGGGACTCGTTTCGACATGCGGCGTCTCGTCAACAGAGTCAGGCCCGCCTCAATCAATGCTAGTAAGCTGCCAGATGTTAGAGGCAAGGACCCTCTCTTTTTAAGGAATACACCCATACGTAAGGTCTATCCATTAGATAGATTAATGTCACCAGATTAAGGGTAAAGGTCACGGTGATAAACAGAGCGACTCTCGTTAGGAATAAAGCACGAGGCAGATTGGGGGGGGGGGGGGGGGGAGTGTCTGAGCTGTCCTGAGCTCCGCTAAAAGTGGACGTATAAATCACTGTCACGTGATCAAGCAGGGGTGTGAAGATGGACGTGACGAGATGATCTGGGCCGCCATGGTAGGGAAATGTTATCTGCGTGTCCCGGTATACAGGAGGTCGTGGGTTCGAGATCCTGACCCTGTATATTTGGAGTCCGCGTGTTCTCCCCGTGGTGGTGTGGATTTTTCTCGGGGTCCTCCGGTTTTTC